GTTAAAACCACGGAATTGTATGATTGTTTCATCATTGGATTGGTACTGAAACAGCTATCCAAACAAATTCAGCCGACGAAGCTAATAAGGTTACATTGACAAAAATACACTTTGCGCATATAAGTATCTGAATGAGGTGACAAAAGATCACCGGATACGCATGCCTGCCCTGACCACAAGCAAGAACCGCGAAACCGGGGAATTTTTTTCGAATCCATGGTATACTACTTGTTGTGGCTGAGCATGATACCGACGAAACAACAACAACAACAAAACAGAGCATTGAGGGGTTGGAATACAGAACAGGGCGAAATGCAGTCGACAAAAATGACAATTGTTGTGTGCTAGTTTAGCGTTCTTTATGAGGGTTATGTGATTTCACCATGGTCGCATGGTCCAATCGTAGAGGTGTATCTCTTCCAGTCCTATTCAGCATGTGCAAACGGAACCCGGGAACGCAAATGATGAGTAGGTATACGCAAAACGTACCCAAGCAATCAAAGGTTCCTTAACCTTACGGTGCAACTGAGCGATCTAGCTTGTCGTTCTCGGTGGCATCATACTCGGTGCATTAGATAAAAAGCTTAATGACGATGCTCAAGGAGGGCTCAGTATGGTTGGGGGTGGGTGTCTAAGGTTGCGGCTGATCACTCTTCCCTTGCACCTCGCGAAATGCCCAAACACGATCAAGCGTCTTTAATAGCCAGTTCTCTTGAGTAAGTTCTACTCACCGCCTTCTTGTGGCGGAAATGTTTTCCCACCAGAGTGAGAGAACGAAAAGTCGACATCCGGGGGCTGTAACTGAGTTGGTGGACCACTGGTAGTTCACCTAGGAGGGTTGTAAAAAAACCTGATTCCAAAACAACCACGAGGAAGCGTGACAGTGAGTTGAACCGATTCACTAAAACTAGTTGTTGCATACAGGCATGCGGTACACAGTTATTCCCAAATGGCAACCATAGGAAAAAGTGGCAGAGATAGGAGAGCTGTAAAACAGAACACATGAAATGCAAAGAAACAGAAAGAGAGAAGGAATAGGGAAAAAATAGCCAGAAACACTTACCGCCAATTCGAGCATTGTACGCGATGCCTACAATACACACGGAGTTGTTCCCTTGGGCAGCAATTTGACCGGCACATCGAGTTCCGTGTTTGCTGTGCAAAAAAAACAACGGAATGAAACCACATCGATTAACGAGGGAGGGGGCGGGTGGTGAGCATGAGCAAGTTGGGATTCACAAACGTGGTGTGGGTGAATAGCAAGCTTTTAACTATGGGGAATGTGTTTCTGCAACAGAAAAATTGGTAAATATGTCCGTGTCACGGACCTTATTCACTTAGTCAGAAAGGTATGAACCGCCATAAGGCTTGCAAGCGATACCACATTCAACATGCGACCACAGTTCAGTTCAGATTTTACAACTATTAACCTTGCACTTTTGTGCGCCGGTAATGATTGCTGTCTTTTGATGGCACATTTGGATAAAACAGCAGAATGATCGTTAGAATTTTGGCAGCAAATTCAAGCGGAAAATAACGCATTGATATGAACTGAAGTTACAAGAATAATGAGTAGATGCATGAGCACCACATGCGACCTGCATCAGTTTAGGCAATAACTGGGTGGCGCGATGATAGTGCCCATGGTGAATAAGGGTGGTGATGGTGGAGCAGTGATTTAACCGCTGTCACCGGAGTCCGAAATTCCAACCCCGTCACCACCACCACCCAACTTTGGTGGTAGACAGCTTTGCTGTCGTCCGGTTCGATACCACGCCTGACCTATCGGGACCCTTATATGGTTCGTCACTCCAAGTCCCGGGGCTTAGATTGCCGGTGTCCATAAATGAACAGCAGATCCTTGTGACTATTGGGTTCCACCCCATCTGCTGTTCATCACACTAAAGTGCGTAATAATAGTAAAAAAAATAGTTGTGTTAGTCCACTGGGAATTTCGACCATAACTATGCATTACCAAAGAAGAAATACCCAAGTGTTCCCTCATTCCGGGCTCGTTTTATGAGTATTAGCGAACTTCCCCGAATCCACCAACCCGACGTGCCGCGCTGTTCACAGATCAAATTGTCAGATTGCTGCCAGTGGAATTGCAGATACCCTTAGAACAGGATTTTTGAAGACGAGTATCATTTCAGATGAACAAATTAGAGAAATCCCCAAACGGTGTAGGCCGTGGTCTGAGGAAATTCAAGCGTTGGTCGAGTATGTCTCTTCAGTCAAATAGGGACAATGCACAATAGGAACGAGAAAAACAAATATCACACGGAGACGAGGAGGACTACGACACACACACATCAGACCAGATGGACAGACGGAGGAGGAAGAAGACCGAAAAAAAGTCCGTAAAGGGGTAATAACAAATCTAATATCGTTCGTATTGTTTTTCCATCCGAGGTGTGTGTGTGAAACACACCTCGGGATAGGACAAAGTGACGAACTCACAGTGTACAAGCTATTGAACGATTCGGCAATGAATGCTTCAGTCTAGTCAACTATGTAGTTGCACTCAGTTTCATCACTTGGATGAGGGGTTTTCTTGTCCGTGACATCCAAGCAAGCACCGGTTTGAGGGCATCAAACTTACACGCCGTCCACATTTTCCATTTGCGATTGGTATCCCAAATTCACTTCAGTTCACTATGAACAACCATTAACCATGCACTTTAGTGGATTGATTTTGGTTGCCCATTTGAAGAAAAACAAGAACAGTGAAAACCGCTGCGCATGACACTTGGCCATGTCACTCCGTGTCTCTGACCGTCTGTTAAGATCATCCCGGGAGTCTAACGGGATCATATGTGACCCAGTCTCCTAATTATGGTTTTCGTCATACCATCATACCAGGTATTCGTTTGACGGCGCCACGAATGTCTCAAGTTGGCAAATGTGAACTGAGCCTTCTGTATGCGAGCTGACACTTCATCCGTGATGCGTCCGCTGGGTGAGATGCAGCTGCTCAAAAAACAAAACCGTCTTTGAACTAAAAGACGTGTGTGAAAATATAAATATGCAATACACCAATCCTGGACAAGGCGGTGATGGCCAAGTGGTTAGGTCATCAACTTGTGATCTGGGTTAAACCGGGTTAAAACCGCTCCACCGCCACCCATCTCCCACATTTCTGTATTTTCCCTGGCAGCCTTTGTATGGCAGCGACCCTCTATTTTCACATCCTGGAAACCGTCATGATTAATGAATCAGTTCGCGTACTGGGTTCCTCAAATGTGACTGCGAATGCAACCAGCCACGCGATCATAATCAATGCTCCCAAGCAGACGGAGGGGTGGGGGTCGGTTAGCAGACTGTATGAATTAGTAACGGGACGTCATGGAGGCACATGTCTCTCTCTCT